TGCTGTGAATTCTGTTTGTAAGCTCGATGAAGCAGGGAAATGGATTTATAACAACAACAACAACAACAACAACAACAACAACAACAACAACAACAACAACAACAACAACAACAACAACAACAACAGTCTTAGAACTGCAGAGCTGGAAGGGATCCTGTGGATCATTGAGTCCAGCCCCAGCGGGGAAACCCGACACAAGTACATGAGTGTATCTGACATAGACAGAAATTGCCTTCATATATAACATGAAATGATGTGGCTCATTTAGTTTTACATACCATTCTATGGCATGTTTCAACCCTAACAATCACACCCAAGGCAGTTTATACAACTAGGTGCCACAGACGCACCAACAGCAAAATTAAAACAACACTTTGTAGAGTTGAGCAGAAAAAAAAACCCTAGGCAGATTACAGATGTTTCCAGCTAAAATTAATTAGGTACAGGGCTTGTCTATCTTCCTTTAGGAAAGAACTGCATCATGAAGATGCTCTTGACAAAAAGGCCTGACCTGGACTTCCCAGCAGCTGCCCTGGGTGTTTGATTACTGATCTCCATGGGCAGTTTACAGTGCATTGCGTTCCTATGCACCAAAACGCTGAAGATTAGAAACAACATTGAATCGATTTTCTGGGCTTCACAAAACTAATCTGTTTCAACTGCTTTGGATTCTATTCTGTTAACTGATGGAACTAAACAAATATCAGAAACTGTTGTTATTTAAATGCAACTGATCTTGGGAGAATGACCTTGATTCCTGGACTCACAAATGGTTATTTATGTCCAAAAGTGATATTGAATACAAATGCTTCTAAGCTATTTCTAGGAAGGGATAATGCAAAACATTCCATGAATAGTTGGATAATTTTATCACCTGTTTCTCAGCATTGTCTGCAATGAAAGTGAGATATAGATGGCCACAATAAACAACATTGTTTCAAAGACAAGTTAAAATTACTGGTCAGATACAATGGAAGGCCATGTCATGAGATCTCATGCTGTTTATAAGACACAAGCATTCCAAAGCAAGAAAATCAAGATTGGATGCTTTTGTAAGTAGTTAAGGGAGCTCTGATAAGTACGAGTCACTGGAATACAAGAAGAGCATTAGAAGAAGAACATTATAAACAAGGATTTGCTGTGGGGATTTGTTTCTCAAAACATTTAAACGGTCTAGATTTGTTTGCTTTGGATGTTTTTTTAATTTTTAAATTACCATTAAGATATTATTATCTCAAATTTGAATTGATTTTCTCACATTTATTTTAACTCCAGCATCTATATCCCAGCTGGCTGGATATCTCAGTAGTTTAGGTATCTGGCTGCAGAGCCAAAGGTTGGGAGTTTGATCCCCCCACTGTGTATCCTGTGAATAAACCCAACCTGTGTGGCTTTGGGCAAGCTTCACAGCCCCAGGATGCTCCCAGAACAAGGAATGGTGAACCGCTACTCTGTATTCTCTATCTCGGAAATCCTGCCATTCATCATAACACAACTTGATAGCACATGGCTATTATTATCTATATCCCAAATAGCTAAATGGCTGGGAATCAGTCATGATTCTGTATTACATGTACAGTAACAGGCAGTTTATTTGTGAAGATTCTCCGTTATCTAGGTGAGGTTATCTGGAAGTTGAGTCATGGCAAGTGGACTTCTTTCTTATTAGGTTGAAACATTTCGCTACTCATCCAAGTAGCTTCTTCAGTCTGAGGAGAGTTGGTAGCAGAACCCTGATACAGCTGTTTAACAACCTACGAATCTTCAATGTAGTGTTTTTCAAGCTGCAGTTTAAATCTGCATATATTTAAATTTAATAATAATATATGGACAATCCCCACTCACACAGTCCTCATATTCCCTAAAAATTTTTACACATCAGTTACCCATAGATTTAAAGCATAAGCCCATATATTCCTACTTAGGTAACTAAGTTCAGTTGAGTTTGGTAGATGAACTCTCGAGTACATTTAAGATCTGCAACATTAGTGACTCCAAAAATCAATCCTCCTTCTTTAGAAAGCTTACTGTTTAATGAAACAGTTGTGTGTTGTGGTTATAATCTACTGCTGCCTTCCCTCCATTGGAACAGAGCTTAACTGCTTACACTCACATAGGATGGAAGATAACTTTACTCCAATTTAAGGTGATGATTCTCTGTGTGCCAGTCGTAGAACCAGCACACTGTAGTCAGCAGGACTTCAGAGTAAAAATATACAAGACTCATTTGCATGCTCACAGTCCTATTTATGCAAGGGTACAGAGTTTGGAAAAGTAACTTTTAATTGATGACTCCTGGAACCTCTAAGCCAGCAGCACAGCTGCTGTCCTGTGCTGCTGGCTCAAGTATTGTAGAAATACTTAAGTCCAAGATATTTCCAATGGAATAGTCATGTACTAGCCTGTTTCACCAAAAGCAAAAAAGCATCTTGTTGATTGAAAAGTTCCATTTGGTACAAGCATTTCTTGGGCCTGTCATTAGGATGGGGCAATTGGGCTTTATTCCAGGGTATCAAACTTCAAGGACATTCCCTTTCCCCTGACTCTCCAGATGGACTTGATTTCCCACCATAAAGACCTCCAAGACAAATGCTGATTTTTGGCTAGCAACTGGGAGGTGCAGAACAACAATAATTGGCCTTGTTGAAGAAGCAGAGAGTATATACCTGAAGCTTCATGGACCAGGCCTCTGGCCCTGATGAGGAGGTGGCATCCAGATGGATGGCTGATCTACCAGAATTATGAGTAGACCAGACCATGCTCCTTCATGATTTGTGGCAACGGCATCCAGATAGAGGGCTGTTCTACCCAGATGATATGCAGACCAGATTACCTCCAAGGCTTGGTAGACCAAGCCTCTTGTTAGACCAGACGAGGTAGCATCAGAATCAGGATCTCACTGGTCTATCTAGATTTCTGGATCAAGCCTAACAGAGCTTGGTAGACATTCCTCTAAGCTGGACAGAACAAAAATAAAAAAATGTGCATATTAATATATGGTATGCTAAACAAAATTCATGTTTCTGTATTTGCATTGCTTTTGTGTTTGTAACTCTGATAGTGCTGCTGGTACTCTGTGGGAGCCAGGAGAGATGCTGGCAGGGTTTTCCGTGCTGTAATTACTTCTTGTATTAATTTTGCATAATGTATTGCAAAGTTGATTTGGGGATGCACCTGGTGCTCCTTGGACTTGATACCAGAACTGCTACTTACAGTTCTGACTTTCATGAATTTTGATCCCCATTTCATGCATCTGAAAAGTGGGTCATAGACATTAAAAATGATGCTGAATCAAACTTGTCAGTCTCCAAGATGCCATAGATACTTGGCATCGTCTAGTAGAGTACCTTACTGACCTTGAAACCCTGTTAGAGTCACCGTACATTGGTTCCAATTTGATGACACATAACACAAGATGCCACAAGACCCCATCCTCATGATGAGGATACATGTTTGGAGGAGTTGAGCATACAAAGCTGGCTTTTCATGGAATGTTGCAGAGCTTTGAATTTCTGATAAAATTTGTTTTGCTATGCTTTAGAAGTACAGAGACTCACAGAGGAAAACAGCTACAATTTCCCCACATAACCCACCCTTTTTTCATTGACTGGTACTTAAGGTCTTTGGAGGAAATCAACCTTACGCGCTCACTGGAAGGACAGATCCTGAAACTGAGGCTCCAATACTTTGACCATCTCATGAGAGGAGAAGATTCCCTGGAAAAGACCCTGATATTGGGAAAGTGTGAAGGCAGGAAGAGAAGGGGATGTCAGAAGATGAGTTGGCTGGACATCGAAGCAACCAACATGAATTTGACCAAACTCTGGGAGGCAGTGGAAGACAGGAGGGCCTGGCGTGCTCTGGTCCATGGGGTCATGAAGAGTCGGACATGACTTAACGACTAAACAACAACAAAGGCCACAATACCGCTCAGAGTGGTATAAATATACCAGATGGGCGGGATAAAAAATAAAAATAAATAAATAAATAAATAAATAATTCATTTTGAGATATTTGTAGGAGAAAGAATAAAATGATGTATTACTTACAGTTGGAAACAGATCAACAACGAACTAACAAACTGACCAACTGCTTCCAATATATTAAAGCAAGAACACTCAGCAGAGGTGGAAGAGAATGATTGGTTAATGCTGGATAGATTGACAGTCACCCCAGTCCAGAAAGATCTCTCCCAGGCACATCTACTAGAGGCAACATGCTCATATAAAACAAAGCTCATTCTCTGATGTGCTATTTTGTTTATGTGTGCTGGCGGTTTCTTTACCCTTCAGGAAATACCGTAAAAAAAAAAAGTCCAGAAAGTGGAAGATTCATTACTTCATGCCATTTACAGTCTATCCTGCCCATTTAGTTCCAAGGCATTACTCTAGAAAAGAGGAGAAACTCAGAAAATATTCTATTTCTTGGTTCTGCTAGATTGGTTCTTTGTCCCATCTTTATCATTCATTTTTAGCCACAGACAGGCGAAGTGACATGTCTCGACAACTCATTAAGCAGGTCTTAAGTTTTCTGGGACTTAGAGAAAGAGAGAGAAAGAGAGAAAAAAACCTTTCTCTTGGGAAGAAAAGAGGGCTGCCAGGTAGTGCAACCGAGAACTCCCATCAGCTGCTCGGCCTCTGCGGGCGACGCCTCTCCTCCAGGCCCTCCCCTCTTGACCTTGGCGAGCCCGGAGCGAGGCGAGGCGAGG